CTATTCCTAATTTTTCTTCTTCTTTCGTCTGCCATGAACCTTTGATTTGTAATTGATGAGGTACCATAATGGCGAGTACGTATACCTAGAACGGCCAACCAGTGTCATTTGACACCTGCACTATAAAAAGCCATTATTGCAGCTAGATGGACCACTCTGTCGGCCATATCAAGTTGCTCGTATGCCAACCAGACAAAAGAAAGGTGCATGGGCAGGAAAATCGCTGAATACAGGACGAAATATAATTATGATCACCATACAACCGTCGGGCGAGAATCGCGAATTTGGGGCGGGTAACCATTAGTGCACAGATTACACAAACATTCTTCAGCTAATGTCCTTGATACTGCTCATTCCCTTTCATTTTCCTGTAAATTGCCCCAGAGGAACCATCGCGGTCTGACAGCCAAGGAAATACTGGAACGGATGTAGCCTATTACCATGCATGAATCTGATGACCATGAAAGCGAAATTGCCCATTTTATCTTCATTTGATGGGTGTTCAAGTGTAGTGACCATTGGCAGTGGTGGATCTGTTCTGTCATATGAAGGCGAATCAAACGGTCACAACACCTGAGTACCACCTGTAGATTCAGAATGTGTTCAGGTTTACGAGCCTCCAGAGAGCGGACGAGGATTGCGGGATAGTCCAGACAAGGAATTGTCAGAAACAGTTACAGGAGTGGTGGAGACCCCGAAATGGATAGTGTTGAGGAAGAGGAATCGCAACTCTGCAACCTGGAGATGGTACACCGCATTATCGCAAGGATGGTGCTGTGTAGATAATCCTTTCTAACTACTTGACGAGCTAATAAGGCTCTTGAACCAAACCTCTTCCTCCTCCGCTTCAGGCTAAACGGGTAGGCAACCGCTGGGATGCCTCCTCTCTCTTTATTGGCCCCGGATGCTGCAGAAGGTGATTGCTAAGTCATAACTGATAACTTCATCATCAGTGCATTACTGGTCAAGAAACTGTTGAAGAATAAAGAGTTGCAGTATGAACCACTTTGGGAAATTGAAGTGAACTACCATCTTACTTCATTGCCAATAATCGCGGATTGCATTTTGTTTTTCAAGTTTACATTGTAGGATGCAAAGATGGTAGACATAGAAGGTAGAAGTAGCAGAATTATCAATGGTCCGCCTAGTGTAAACCACCTAGAGCCATATGTTTTACATGGTGAGAGTAGGAAGCCCCACATCGGTCAATTCTAGTAAAAGACGAGATATGTCCTTGACCGTTTCGATGGAATGTGGTGGATCTACTCAACAAAGACTATTCCAGAAGATGTCCCCCTGCAAGGTGGTTACATAAATGAATAGATGTGACAGGACTCAACGCCTTCACAATATCCCAGACCTTTGCTAGTTCATGCGCATCCAGAAAACGCTCATTCCTGCACTGGTCAATAAGCTTGTAGATAGTTATGGCATCTGGTTGCTAAGTGCCAGCCAAGGAGAAAAGAAGGGTATACCTCTTTGAAAGAGTCTAAAATGCAATCATTACTAGCCTAAACCATCTCTAGCAGCATATGTGTCAGCTTGGTGAAAAAATGATGCTCATAGTCAGTCGATGTTTGTACTTGTTACTGTGTGTCATTCATCGTGACGTTCGAGTAATCCGATTATGCCAAAGCACATATTCCCGAAAAACAGTTCCTCATGTGCCCAGTGACGTTGACACATGGCTTGTTATTGTAACTCTGTGATTATAAGAAATTACTATGCAAGTAATTGAAGTTTTGCCAGTAATTGAGCTCATCCTTCGCAATTGCCGTTACGCGTAAATTGTATTTTAGTTCCGTATAGCCAACAATAGTGTCTGGGCGAATCCTAAATTGTTGTGTACATCATAAATGCCGATAGTGATAGCCAGCACTGAAAACAAAAACTGTAATAACCTATATCATAGGTCTTAGACATGGAAATGTATGCAGGTGTCAAATGACACCGTTTGGCCGTTCTAGGAGTACTGAAAGTGGTGGCCGTCCTAGGGTTAAAATGATTATATTCTACATGTTACCGCCACATTTACTGATTGCGTTTGCGGAAATTCCTAAAATATACTACGTCTACTACCGTACTGGCAATATATGTTGCCGCGTAACGCGCGACCAGGCTAGTGCGACAAATTTTCGTTGCGTTCGTAACGCGCGTCTGGCGGGATGCGGCGATCTTTTCATTGCATGCAATTTGCAAAAAAATGATGCGGCAATAGCAAAAAAGTGATGCGGCAATAGCAAAAAAAGGACTGCGGCAATATAGAAACCTGTGTAACGGCTCCTGTGCGACTTTGCATGTAACACCCTGCGTGCGGTAAACATGTGCCAATGTAACGCTTCATGGCCTCACTGCGACCATGTATATTGCCAGTACGGTACTACTCAATTTACCACACAAAGGACTGAATGAAGTAGGGAAATAATCATCCCATGATCTTCTACTATGTGAATGCTTCCACGTAAGCGCATGTCATTGTGCAGCATCCGAAACTTCAACAAAACAATGATTCAAAGAGACGTTATTCAAGATAAGTCATGCATTTCTACGTTCACTGGTATAATCAAAGATTCCGTTCAAGGCAGCTGCCATGGTGTGTACCTTACCACCTTTAACACACGTTGTCAGTCCAGTCCGCTCATTGACTAGCATGAAATTGTTTGTAGCAGGAGTACTCTTGTTTGTAGTGAGGATCAATCTACAAAACACTATTGGTAAAAACAATCCAGAGTCACCTCGAATCGAGACGGACAGTTCCTACGAGACCTGCCTGTCGACATCAGGGTCAAGTGGCAAGTCATTTAGCCGTTACGCACGACAATCTCAGGAACACCAGTCCTGTCCTCCTCCGACGAACCAGCTACTGTATGTTACTTCAGAACTCAGAACGACACAATTATACAAACAGAATGAAAAATGCTTCATCAACGGTGTGACTTTGCGTTTCGCTTCGTGTTTCTTTGTGTTTCTCTTGAAAATCTAGCAAAATTGAGTCATTCGCATGAAAATGTCTGGTTACGTCAGCGAAACCCGCTGATTTTTCCCATTTTTCGAGCGCTGAATGGCGCAAAAACTGTGAAATCACGGCAACGAAATAGTGTTCGACGAGCGAACAAACCTCCTTGCACCGGCATTGGTGCACAGCTTCGGGACGGCCAAGTTCTCAAATCGTCCTCTAGAGACCCTTACCTACCTCTGTGCGAAGTTTCAAGTCCTCCCTCTGAAGTGGCATACCCCGAAAACAAAAAGCATCCTACAGATTTCAGCTCCCGGACTACTAGTGTTAGATGTCACCTCAGTGCACATATATCAAGAGTGAGTAAGTCAACGCACAGTAATATTTTCCAGGTGCGATGATGAGTAACACAGAGTGAACTGTCATACTCACACTATTACACAGTAAGAGGACAGAGAAAGTGTTGTTACTCCGAGATTCACACACTAAGCGATCATCAGAAAAAAGTGACGACAGGAACTGTTTCCTGATGATCGCTTAGTGCGTGAAACGCGGGGTAAAAACACTTTCTCTGTCCTCTTATTATGTGAACCAGCTCTGCCTCTCGGTATTAAGCGCTCTCTTGGACAGCCTGGAATCTCTCTGTTTTACTCACAGAATTACCCAGCCAGGGTAGGTATTACTTTGTGGTCCCAAGCTCCTTATCTCCACAGCTTCTCTCAACTCCCTGCTTGCCCTGTCACCTTCTCTGGCTAATACTCAGTAAGAGTACTTACACATCCGCAAAAATAGTATCCCCCAGCACCAGTCTCCTCTGGGCATGCTTGGTCACAAGTTGGTGCTCATGTGCTCACCCCAGGGCTTGCCGCGGGTACGGCGGTGGGTTTCTCCATTATGATCCGTCTGTATAGTTTCCAATGATCTCTCAGTCTCTCCGACGTTGTTCGCAGCATCAGAGCGACACAGTTGGCGACGAAGACTGCAAGAATGTTCGTAAACAACCCTCACGGATAATTTATGCTTCCGAATTGCTTTCCTGACATTCTTATGGATCCGATCAGACTTGAACAGCAGTTTAAAAAACGCTTGATAACCGGAGGGCGTCTCACTATGACTGCCATTTAACGGTTATGTATCTTGTTGTCGCACTATCTGACTGTACTAATAGAGAGGTTCTGCATAATGAATTTCGTTGCATTTTTTCGTAACCATGAGGGGGCAGCAAAAAGTGGCCGAATTTCCGTCAAAATGGGCGCGTAATAAGAATGTTCAGTAAACAAATATTTCGTTGCCCTTTTGCTTCACTCCGGATACCTTTTCTACGTACTTGTACAGTCTTGCTTTGATCTGAGTCAGTTTTAGTTTGTATCTCCGTGGAACGTCATTCAGTGTGGTAGCTTCGGCTTACAATGGAAGGTCCTATACGGCGTGGCCTATGGTGAAGAAAGATGATGGTGTGGATCCGCTGAAGATTCTATTGACCAAGAAACCACAATTCATCCTCCTCAAGGTCGCCGCCATCGTATTCCGGTAGTAGGAAACAACACAACAACTCCTCGTAATCATCTGCTATGTCCACGCCACGGACATCACTTCACGACTCACACAAATGCTTTCGCTCCAGAAACACAAGGTAGAAAAAATTAGTAGAAAAGCAGAATTGAAAAAGCAGTGAAAATTGCGCAGCGAAGGTTCGCCCTGCAGAACCTACCGGCGCTTGAATTTTTTTCCGGCCTCAAATTTCGTCACATTTATGGTCATCAGCAGAGACGAAATTCGTTATGCAGAACCTCTCTTCTGTTGGTATGGTGGGAATTTGTTCTTAGTTCCGTTTTGTACCCTGTGGCAGCGCTTGATTTTGTTCGCAAAATTCCGTCGCAGTTTTGGCCACAATCGAGGTCGTCAAAGGTCCCCGTAAGGCACGCAACAGATCCTACAGGAAACTCACATGCACCATCTTAGCGAAAGATGAGGGATAGCCTAGGCCAGTTTTTTGGTGTTCTTGGATATGCGCTATTTCTGTAAACTACAGGTCATTGTTTCAAGCTATTTGAATGTAGGGTAAATATACCCACAAAATCAAAAGCCAGTACAGTTTGTACTGAACCTTGCCAACATGGTCACTAAAAATTTAAGCTGATAATCATGAACTACTACGACCATACAAACTAATGACAGGAGGCAACATTATTAATCTTTGTTATCATCATGGGTCCACTATGGCAGGGTGCCAAAATGTTGGATGCAGAGATGATTACTTCAGAAGTACAAGGCCAAAATAAGAGATACATGTGACCTTGGAAAGAAAGACTATGAAACAAATCCAAAGTGTAAGAACAACTAGAAACTGGTAACGGGGGTCCACAAATAAAACAGCTGTTTGAGCAGTATCGGAAGTGAATGATTCATGCTTAAGAAACTTAAAAAAGAGTGAAAGTGAGTTATAATATTGGTTGGAGCTTTTGGCGGAGAAGAAACAATGCAATGCTGACAAAATAGGCAAGCGAACTCGGTCAGCTCCACAATCAAGACAATCATGGAGAGACTGCAAACGACACAATGTGCATTCATTTCTTTCTACAAAAGATGGATTCGAAACAAAGATAAAAGTTAGCTTTTCGGGCTCGCATTGGCAGCAAGTTCACTGCCATATCGTTGCATCGCGTCAAGCAATTCGACGCTGCTCATCATCCTTTTCGAATCAGACGCTCGTGATGACCCAAGTATGTAGGTACCCAAGCCACTGTATAGATCGTCACGCCTGGGGCGACTGGACTGTGGCAAACTCTTCCAGAGCTTGGTGTACTCCAAGATAGCCGTGAAGTAATCCACAGCCTGTTCTGTGCGTAGGATGCCTTTGATCAGCAGATTGATCACAGAGTGCATTTTTGCGACCATTCCAGTTGCGTGAATCCAGTGTCGGCTGGCCCATCTGTCATCGTACGCCACATCAATGTTCGCATACATGATACCACAATAATAGAAGGGGTTATGGGTCCAAGGATTAGCTAAGTACTCTGTGAGATGAGCCGTATAATACTCATCCATTAGTGATGAGATCACTATCGCATCTCGCCTCGCGGTGTTGTAGTAACCTTTCGCAATGCACACTAGCCGGCTATAGCTGTTCGCGGAGGACACGTGTGGAACCATCTCCGAAACATCCTTCTCCAAATCCTTGATGATACCTCTCTGATACTGTTCAATGGAGCTGCACCTCTCAAACGATAAATTCACCACGTCTTGAAGTCTATACACTGTTGCACCGAAAACTGTGTCAACATTGCATCTTTGTTTGATCAACGTCGGTGAAAGGTTGGGAAGGTAAGTACAAGCTTCCTCCGCAAACAGACAATGCTCCTGTGCGAGTGAAATCAACTGCCCAGTGCTGGTCCAGCTAGGAGGTGTATTCACGTTCTCAGGCAGCCTCAGCACCAGGCTCGATAATCGCCCAAGCAATCGCATTTTGAGTTTGTAAACATAAGGATTATTGCTAACGATCACGCCCTTCATGCAAAAGCGACCTTCGGTCTCATACAGGCTAGCCACCCTAGTGGCGATGTACATGACCTTGGCACTCTGAATGTAGGAGAACTCCAAATACGGACTGAGCTGATACCGGTGCTGTATGCATGGGACAACGAAACAATAAAAAGACAGTAAAACATGAAATACAAATATGCAATAAAATATGCGATTTGAAAAGAAGAGGATCATAAGTTTGGAAGTTATCCGTTTCGTGACGTTCAACTTTCGTCCAACACAAACAATTATGAATAAACTCCGCAGAGACAACAAGTTTAATAAAGCAGTAAATAGAAATAAGTCTGCCGTCATCACCATGTATCGAAGTCAAATGTCAAATGCAAAATTTAACACATTTTGAGATGCATACTTTTAAAATAATTATTTTTGCTTAACTTCCCTTCACTTCAGTCAGGATAATCCACTGAGATAGTGACAAGAAAATTGATTTTGGATAACATTTGACTTCGTAGATATATATTTCGGTGATGACGACAGAGTTTGTTCTATGTGAGTTCAGGTTGAGTTCGGTTAGGCATCTGGATTGGCGTGGTCGAATGGCGCTTTGGAACTGCATCCAAGGCAGTGTAGTCAGTGAAGAAAAATGTCAGGAAAGACTTTATTTGGCCTAGGGATTCATCGGGGTCAGCATTCTTGATTTTTAACAGAGGAAAATGGCGTTTAAAATGTGTTGCTCTAGTTGTTGGTCTGCTTTTGCCCAGGCAAGGCTAGACCTTGGCAGGTACAGTTTGTTATTGGACAGATCCTGATCCTGTTTATCATCAGTTGCATGTAAAACTTGCTGGGAGCAATGCTCCATCTTCTCCACTGTGACAATGTTGCCGTCAGCGCTGTGCTCAGGAGGCGGGCTGACTGGGTTGGCAACATCCGTGTTACCACTCCTATTGCTAGGGGTGTGCGGAATGTAAATTTCTTTACTTTTGTAAACCTTATAAGATTTAAGGTGACGTGCCATGTTGGATTTGAATATGTTTTTCATGCAATGCGGACATGGCTTTTTACTATGACAGTCTTTCAAACTGTTTTGGTTGTTGGCTGCAGCGGCAGCTATAAGTTACTTTCCCGCAGGCGCAGCCCCTGGTTCTGCGGAAAGTTCGATACATTTTTTCGTCTGATAATGACGACTTAAGTTGTAGGCGTGGCTCAGGGTGCTTCCGCACCTATCGCACACCACGCCATCTAGCTGCGAATCCTAAAAGCTAAGGGCGGCTGTCGGCTTTGACGCGGCATAACCAGACCCGTAGCTCTCCCGGATAAGAATGAAAAAGCACAGTGATGCTTAGCAACGTTAACGCAGTGAGAGCAATGACATGGATGGTACAAACATAACACCAACATTAGGGATCTCAGCGCGTGAACTACGTAGCCAGTCTGTGCATGTTAGATTTTCGATCCCAAACGCGTCCAGTGCAGAAATCGTGGAAAAGAACATTTTTTTCGAAATAAATCAAGTTGAAGAAGACAGTAGAAATGGCTGAATATTGCGTCCAGGAAAGCACGTTCTACGGCCATCTCCAAGCTACCCATTTCCCAGGCACTCTCTCAGAGTAACTATGGAGGCTCAAAGAGCACAATCTTTCACTCTTGGACGCAGCGTGAACACCTCTTCTACTGAGCGCGATATCTTCTCTCTGAGTGATAATGGCGGCTGTGTTCGCGATGGCAGATGCACTGAAAATCGAAGTTAGGACAATCTCACCAGAGAAAACGTCTGAATTTTTTACTGAATCCTCTCTGAAGTGGGTTCTTGCCGCATGAAAAATTATAGGAAAATCGACCGGGGCAATATCGCCTTGGCCACGCTGTCCTTCGGCGGGAATTACAAAGTATGTTCGAACGGCGATGAAGATGACGATTCCGCTAGTGTCCACCGCGTCCCCTAGTGTCGAAAATCGACCGTCGCCATTTTTCTGCTGTGTCCGCGAGCTGCACTCAAAACTCGATGACGCAATGTATGCGCAAACACCCTGCGCACTGCACGCGCTGAGATCCCTACCAACATGTCAATGTGGTGAGGCTTCACAAGACTCGAACGGTATGACTTCAGAAGTCAAAATCTAACTCTGATGTGAAAGAAGACCGTCTAATCGTTGATATGGATCCATACAAAACTCGATCAATGATTTTGTAAATCAGTGGTGCTATGACTGCGAGCTAGTGAAAATATTTTGGACTGCACTACGTGGTGACGGAGCGTGGGAGCGTGACTCCCTTTGAACAGGGACGGATATGCAGAGGATATTGACAAACGTATAATTTGTTCACGCCATGCAATGCTGTGGCGATGAACGTGCTGTCGATGCGAATTCGAGGAGCTGCGGCTTTTTATCTGTTTGTTGTTCCTTCGTCGGTTGGGCACATGTTAACACACCCGCAAGACATCCAGTAGGTGGCCTAGTGTTGTGTAACGTGCTAGTACTTTCAAGAAATGGAAAGTCCTTGAAGCTGTGAATATTCGTCTCCCTTATCCTGATGGTTGTAAGCAAAAGGAAAATGTCACTGCACTCAAATTTGTTTCCTATAATTCACATTCACTATTCATTCTCACCATCACACTTTCTCGCTTACAATCACCTCGCTAGCTGTGCACAAAAGTCACCATATGTCTATTCTAGCAACTAGCGTTATCTTTCATGAAATATTCCATTACTATTTGACGTTGTTTTTGGCACTTTCATTATCTCTGTACCGAATGTATATATCCTTATGTTGTTTTCTGTTATACCTTAAAGGTTACGTCATACCACTGATGAATGTGGCAAGAAACTCATACTGGACACAAACATGTAGCTACCTTGGTTGAAAAGGTTTGTCTTTAGAGGATATAACCACGCCGACTATTAAGGAAACGCACTTTCAGCACTAGTCAGGTATACGCATGTATTACAGTATGCGATTTCAAATGCAACTTGAAAGCAGAATAACTGAAACCAAAATTCACAAATCATTTACATCGCACATTGGCACTCACCTGACATAGACCCTTGAATGTGTACTCATTGTGTAGCAGCTCCCGCAAGTGTCTACTAACCCCACACAGCTGAAAGATGTCCGGAATTGTCAGCAAAGGTAACAGTGTTGAGCACCATACGTCAAATAGAACATTGCCAAGTCCTGACTCGACTGATTCCAACACCCTTGACTGTTGATCTTCAGATTCATTAACCAAACCCGCGGCTCCTTCGTCTAGCGACAGTTCTTCTTGCATGACTCCATCATCCCGAACAGTAAGGTCAACAGGAACAGTCCCTGGCAAAGGACAATCATGCTCACTGGTGGCGTTGATATGTTGTGGAAGGGCTACCGCTGATGCTTCGTCATCGGAATGGTCAGATTGCTGATTGGCATCCATTGGCAATGTATGTATGTATGTATGTTTTCGATCTCTATCCTGGAAACAGGCACAACCAACCAACACATATTGGAAAACAAATACAGACACCGACACGCACACGCTCGTGCACTTTGACACACACACGCGACATGCCCTAGAGTGTCACATCGATCGGTTTGTCTAGGGCTATCCTCATTCCAGTTTCTCTCGACATATACTCAGAAAGTGTGATGAACAACAACAGTTCGTTATCAGTAAACCCTGAGTACGTTTAACCTAGCTTCCTGAAATATCCCTCCTTACCTTGCTCAGAAGAAAAGAAAATTAGAACTGATGGTATTGGACAGGCACAAAATTCCCCAGGAGTAAAATCTCTTCTCACCGTCTGATGTGCACAACTCAACTGGTCGCCTGTAAGCTTCAGATCTCTGACTTATACACAAGAGAGATTGGAAGCTTTGTCACAACTCTGAGTTTCACGTATTACTACGATCATCCGGCAACTGATGGATCCAAAACGGGCAGCCAGTAATAAGTAATAAGCTACTAGTGACATGAGCGCACGCATCTCTTGAACTTGTAAGTGTGGAACGTGTGTGACGTAAGCCAGGGTCCTACGCTGGCTATTGGATCGGTCTCAGTAGGAAGTGAAAACCTGTCCGCGCCTTCTCGGTTTAGCCTGGTCCCACGGCTCGAACGGCTAGAGCATTACTCTTGACAAGCAAGATCCAGGGTTCAAGCCTTGGTGGGGTTGGCACTTTTCTTCTATTCTTAGGCAGTTTGCTTCCCAGACTGATCTTTTGTAATTATAGCGTGGATTGAGTACAATGTCAATGTGCATGTACGTGGGTATACAAGTATGATCCCACTCGTTTCTGATTCTTCATTCCACGTTGCTTATGCGAACGCTTCATTTACGTGCTGCTTGTAGTCACGTTGCATTGATGCCTACGCGGAAAAGCTACTAATATTGATAAAAATACAAAACATGAGACAACTGCGTGGACTGTGCGTGTGTAACGTCTACATGTAACCTCACCAAGATACTGTGCAAGGAGTTGGCGTGTGGCTGGCACCTACTTATACAATGCAATGTACTTCGAAGTGCATTGTACAATGTACTGCTGTGGATGAAATCCTGCAGGGGATGACCGTGGAGGGTACACTTGAAGTCTTCATTTTACTAGCGCCTAGAATCTACGTGCACTGCATCGTAGAATTTACCTGCTGAAAAGTGGACTCGGTCCAGGTTCACTGAGTGTCACTCGTTTTTTAAACATTGTCCAGTAGATAGTTTCCCATAAACTCGCCGCGGGACTCATTGGTACTCACAATGGATCGGGACCACAACAGGGTTCTTTGACAACCGTTGATCCAGCGGTCTACTGTCGTACGAAGCCTAGTTGACCTTTCTTTTCTGTACAATCACGAGTATTTGCGCATAGTCCGACTTCTCCAGCGTCCCGTACCATTGAGGACCATTTGTGGAAAACCTAATTCACAACGTGGCTCAAACCTATCACTCCACGGCTTTCGAAGCTCTCCTCACTTATTCTTCAATTACGTAATTTTCACAGTGGCCGGCCATCGTTCTCAGACTAAGTAAGAGCTAGTACCGTAATCAAATACGTCATGAAAGTTCTGCACTTTTGGCCCGTTCAAAGAGTTCAAGTGAGTCACACTATACATGTACGAGGGGGTTCAGAAAGTTTCTGGCCCGACACAAAGAAGCAAAATTGTGGAAAGATCACTGTTTCCGAACAAATTACTTTGGTCTCCACCTTCTCATGATGTCAACCAACAACATGATTGTAAAGGTATGTACATGTAAATATATACGAACACGTACATCAGGGCCAGCGCTAGACATTCAACACAGCCCAGTCAGAGTGTACCTGGCGCATGCAGGCCAGCCGGGTCAGATCATCCGGCAGAAAAACAACCAAAAAGCCTGCTCAAAATGCAGCAAAACAGAAAGGCGTATTTATTACCGGAAATCGGCCATTTTAGAGAACAAGGCGAACTATTAAAGTCCGCAAACGTAGAATGGTAAACGACATTACGTGAAGAATGCAAAGCAGTTCCATTGGATTTTGATTTAAGAACTTTAAAATAGGGAATTCGGTTTTCAAATTACCGATTATCTCTAACATAAGCACAGTCTCCAATATTAGCAGGTCTCCAATAATAGACCACCTTGGGGGGGGGGGGCGGGGCATTCAAAAAATAAAGTGCTCAGTCTCCATTATAAGCACACTGTGTAAATTCATTGTCTGTACCGGCGAAAAGACACTGAAATGTGTGTGTCTGACATGAATTTGGCATGGCAACATGCCTCTGAAATGAGGATGAAATAACAATGGAACAGTCTCCAATAAAGGAACGTCTCCATTAATAGCACGGGGCGGAGGTACACTAAAAAAATAAGGCACCGTGCTTATATTAGAGACTAGCAGCACCACCGCGGCCAGCGTTGCCTGGCCGAATGTGGCATGCGGGTGAAGCAAGTACGTGAATAGCACACGTGCTCAGCACGTGGTGGTGGCCAGACCGCTGAAGTCCTGGTGAGGGAGGTTCTTCATCGTTGGAAGGAGAAGGAGGGACGTCTGTTACGCCTTCGGGAGGCTGGTCAGGGTTGTCCATCACCTGGTGGCGGATGAAGCGGCTCAAAAAATTCATAAACTTACGAACAAAAGTGCGATGCGCTCTTCACTGCAGATCAGATGCAGAGTGCAGTCAGTGCAGATCTTTTGTATCCTTTTGTTGCAGATGTTTCTATTAATTTGCAGAGAACGGTTCACGTGGTCCGCAGCGCTTGTGCGGCTGCTAGTGCTACCTAGTACCTGAATAGTATGGCCTAGGCTAGGTGGCTACATGATTCGCACGCTTCGCGTGCTCAGTGCTTCTGCGCGCGGCTGCTACTGCTACTCGTACTGATCGTGTCTGCTACCACCTACACTGTTCGCACGCTTCGCGTGCTCAGCACGTGGTGGTGGCTACACGATTCGCACGCTTCGCGTGCTCAGTGCTTCTGTGGCTGCTTCCGCTAGCTACACGATTCGCACGCTTCGTTCGCACGCTTCGCGTGCTCAGTGCTTCTGCGGCCGCTAGCTAGCTACACTGTGCTACACTGTTCGCACGCTTCGCGTGCTCAGGGCAGCGCTGCTCCGCAGCGCTTCAGCGTGACACAAAAACACACGTCACAGGTGCCTCTTCTTTATAAGGAGCGTGACACACACACACACAGACACACGTCACAGGTGCCTCTCTTTTATAAGTAAAGATAATACGGTAGTGCTAGTGGCAGGACGAATGACCAAATCCACCCCCGCTTGTCTTCCTTTTGAAATGCGTCTTGCACAAAGCGCATGACATGGATAGACTGGCATGGTCTTAGTCCAGCCAGGGTCGACCTTTCTTCCAAGAGTCTTGGAAAGCGTGAGTTCTTTTTCTCTTCACTGAGGGCTCCATCGTCCAAATCACCAGTCGGCTGAAAACTTGCAACTGTGTCAAAAGCTATAGCCAAAGTTACGCTTTTGACTGCCTGCCCCATCGACTTTGAATGTCCTGACTTCCCGATCGCCGCTGGCTGGCCAGATCGCGCTCGAACCAGTTGACCCCAGTTGACCCTAGCCGAGTTTCTGTCGCTTGTAGACTGTAGTGTGTACGGTTGCGCTCAGGGAGGTCGTGCAGTTCCCCAGCCGGGCGCGTGATCCGGCTGACCCGGCTCTTCAGCAGGCCATGGTACATGTATGTACATGTGCCTATGGTAGAAGTCTACAGTCCATTCATAGGAAACAGTCCCGCTGGTTTTGAAGGTCGGATTTGGGCCGAATTGAGCATCAAAAACCCATTCAAAAATCTGGGTTTTGGATCTTGTTCTCCACACATTTCGGTATGGCATACCTATTATAATTAACCAGGCTGAATTTCTACATGTAATACCCTGTTCTTGGACTTTTGTGGCATCAAATGTGGCAAGGAATAATTGTACAGGTCACACAATGCAGATTGTACATCTGCTTCCACGTTATCTGCAACTGAAATCTGTTGAAAATATACAGAAATATCAAGGCCTGAAGCATGAGGTGGAACAGATGTGGCAGGTTCGGGCCAAGATTGTGCCAGTGATTGTGGGGGCATTAGGTGGGTTAACCCCCTCGACTGCTGACTTTGCGAGGGACCTGAATGCCGGAGCCAGTGTATCGATCTTGCAAAAGGAGGCGCTCCTTGGCACAGTTGACATCATCAGGTCAATAACTCAGATGAAATAACAATTACACTATATTACGTTACATTGGTTTGCGAATGCCCATGGTTCGAACTACTAGTTGAAGCCCCTATTTGCAGAAAAAAATTATGATCGTAAAATTAATCCCGAGTCAAGCTCCGTATGAAGACATCCAAGAAGAAGATTGCCTGATGAGTCCAGCGGGGACGAAACGTACGTCGCAATCGAGCTATGCCGTTGCTGTGTCATCCTCAATGTACCATGCGCTACTTGATGTACCAGCCTCCTATGCCGGATGCCGCCAGCCACGCATCGACCAGGCGCCAGGCGCGGACTGATGGTGGTGGTGGTGAGAAGGAGAGCTCTGTGCCAGAACTTTGCAGCCTAGAGAGCGTATGCGGGCAGGCGTGTGTTTACTGCCATATTGCCAGTTGTGTTTTTACCACCATATTTATCAACCATAAGTACAGCTGCAGTGATAACTTCAATTTAATTTCGTAATATGAATCACTTGACAATAACAAAGACAACAATAATACCATCAGCCTCCATTCCCCGGTTTTGACGGTGCTTCCCTGTTGTTGAATGATCAGAATTATATCGCTGCAGTGCTATTGTGTTGCTGAAGGGGTCGATTTCAGATTTAATGACGGGTACTTTTCATCGGATGTTGTTTTCTGATTTAGCTCTCTTGCTATTTCTGTACCTGCTTGTGTTTAAAAGTCTCTTTCTAGCAGATAAGTTCTATAATAGATTGTACATGCATCATTGTGGATTTCTTGCCCACAGTATTTCTCTCTTTTTTCCTTTCTTTTTTCCTCAGTCTTCCTTATTACATTTTCTTCACATACAACAGCAGTACTCCCCATGCTCTTTTTAATGACTCCGGATACCATTTCTACGTACTTGTACAGTCTTGCTTTGATCTGGGTCGATTTTAGTGGCACATCGTTCAGTGTGGTAGCTGCAACTTACAATGGAAGGTCTTAGACCGCGTATGGTGATCGAAGACGATGGTGTGCATCCGCTGCAGACTCCAGTGACCAGAAACAACAATTCATCCTGCTCGAGATCTCCGTCATCGTATTCCGGTAGTAGGAAACAACATAACAACTCCTCGTAGTCATCTACTATATCCACCGACATCTCCTACACCCACACC